TCTGATTAGTTTCTACACGATGAAACATAACACTTCATCCTTTCTTTTTAATACTACGAAAATACACCGATTTGCGATTTTCGACACATAAGCGCACAGGACGAACGCTGATAGTATACTAAGTAAAGTCAAGCTCACTGTGATGACGTCAGGACCTAGTTAGAATGACAGTGCACAGTTGCTTATGCTATCTCCTCTTTGTATTTGCTTCGTGATTTCAACTAAGTTTTGTAATAATGGTAGATAAATATTACTTCTATAATTAAATTATTACTTAGTTATATTTTAGCTATACGTAAGATAAATACGGTAAGGTAAAAAATGATATATATGAATCCTTTTGTTTGCTCATTAAGCATCCAGCCACGCAACAATTATAGTAAGAACGACGTTTTGTCATTATACGAGTAATTTATCGAATAGGTAGGTAATATACTTACATAATTTATACGTAAGTTTAATATATATATGGATGTGGAGGAAGCGAGAGAGGTGTGTCAGAATCGTGCCAAATGGAAGTCCCTGCCTACCCCTCTGGGTGACAGGCGTGAGTGTTTATGTATGTATGTACGTATATTATATTATGATTTCTTATACGCGAACACTACACATTTAAATATTTGACGTCCCAATGTCATAGTTAACCACGGCTACTTCTGGATTAAAAAATCGGAAAATACGTCGGGAATATTAAATAAGTTAATATACGCGATAAAATCGGTATAACTAATTTTATTTCAATATATTATATTGTTTATAAATTACATTAAAAGTTTTTCAGCTATTGTATCTTACAATTAAATATCATCATCATCATCATTACAGCCCTTCTTAAGTCCACTGCTGAACATAAGCCTCAATTAAATATACCATACACTAAACGAAAACTAATTCAACCTTAGTATTTACAAAAAAATATTTACGTAAATAGCTTTAAAAATCTTTAACATTCAATTGCCTAGAACGCGAGCCCCGATTGCGTTCTGCTCCGGGGGCGCCTCGCGATTGTAGGTAATTATTTCACGCAGGTAGCAAGAGTGACAGAAGCCCGGCTGAACTGAAGCAAGTACCTACTGCGCGCTCGAATTTAAAAATTAGGGAAACTTCAAAACGTTATAACTTTCGTATTTCTGCACTAATTTGGATGAAACAAAAACTATTGTTTTTTTTTTTATAGGATCGGGTGACTAACGAGCACACAGTCCACCTGATGGTAAGTGGTTACTGTGACCCATAGACATCTACATCTATCCTCAATAAAGACTCAAGATGCAGATGCGTTGTCACCCGTGAGGAATAAGATGGAATGCCTCTTTGCCAGTAAAAAGGGTCTCCAGTTCTCTACACTCACCATACGAAACACAGCAGCGTTAAGCTGCTATTTTACGCTGGTTTTCTGTGAGAGCGTGGTCCTTCCCCGTTCGAGCCGACCCATTCGTGCTACAACCATAATATAGCTGCAACATGGCTCTACTACTTCTGAAAATTGTTATTTTCATAAACATAAATAAGTATCTATTAAAATGCTGATAAACGTTTTGTTTATTTAATTTTATTCTCCTGTGCCAACCCTACCAAAATAGGTAAACATTTTGACAGCTGCTAGAAGCTTTGCCTCTGTACAGTTTCTTTACTCATGTGATATTAGTATGTGTAAATATATAAAGTATATATTATTCATGATAAATTTAAAATTAATTATTGAAACTGACTTGATGCAGATGTACCTTGCAGCATATTTATTTATCTATGGAGTATGGACACATTGTAGGACTGTGAGTTTTGGCGGGAACTTGACCGGCGGCGATTTGCTCTTCCTGTATCATTGTGTAAATAATGATTTGAAGTGGATATTGATATGTAAAAGTGGTACGATTTTGTGTATTAAGTGTCTGCGCATGTGAACTATTAGTGGAAACGGTGAAACAAGTGCTCTGATGGTGATGTAATTCTCAAGATAAGGTGTCTGTCTGCTTAGGCGCCTTGAGATACCATCGCCAACTGTCAGCTGTCTGCTGGCTCATGTTACCGTCAAAATCTCCCAGGTGCTGCAAAATGTGACGCATTAACATATTGTGAACAGTGTACTATGAAGAATAATTCTACATTGTAACTTCAGACTCAGAAGGGCTAGAACCTAGAGCCGTAAAGCCAGTTATAAAAAAAATTGTAGGACAGTTACCTACTATCCTACGGAGAACCATCTCTGTATATGAAAAGTGTCCCTAAAAACGCGTCCAATAAGGGTGGCGCTGTAGTAGCATAGGATAAATTTAAAAAAAAGCGCTAAAATTTATTAGAATAAGATGGAGAAATAAACAAGGACCGACCAATCTGCTTGGTTTTGTACTACGTAAATAGTTGAGGTTTTGTATACTGGAATTTTACTAACTACTCTAGTCATGAAATTTTTTAAATATTTTAATTCAGCTGACTTCACTCCGTCAACAACAGCTATATTCATATCGTAGTTTTTCAGACGCCAGCGCTATTGTGGTAGGTTTTGGAACCTCTATTTTCAGTAAATATTGGGACACTTTTTCAACTTTCGCACCTTATAAGACGGTTCTCCTTCTACTCTACACTCCATACTACTATCATATATAATAACCATAGATATAAGAAAAATAGATAAATATATTTTTCTTATATATATGATAATAACTAATTACTACTTATCTCACTGACTTAGAAATATATGGACTGGGCATACCTACCAGAATTAGCGTGACAACCTAAACAAATCTGGCGCATAAAACGACCGCCTTTTATAGGGTTGTAACTCAGCAATATGGGCAGCTGATATCGATATTTTTACTAATATGAGTTTGTTCTTATTTCATATAACTATAGAAATTAAATCCATAGCCTTATTGCGTAACACACCTAAAATGGCAAACCATACCAATGTGAAAGTTTAACAACATCCATTGCGTGGTTTTTGTCGTCAAAAACGAATTTTTCAATCACATGAAGCAATGGATATTGTTGGGTTGTTAAAATAGTTTTGGATTGCTATCTCTTAAATTTCGCTTGAGCTGCCTCACCAGGCTTCACCGCATATGTACACTAAAGCAATGCATACTCCGCTACAGTTTTTTTTGTGTTAGGTACACAGTCAAACAATGAGTTAAGTATGCAGGCAGCTAACTTGCAACTTGTTTTAAACAATGTTCTGAGTGTGCTAAGTGCTTACTCAAGTTTTGAAGTTATACTTTATGTGAATTTTTTACAACTTCAGTTGGTAAGTCTGTCAATTGTTAAGTTCTCGTGAGAACTGATAACTATATTCGAGGTAGTTATTCAAATATATATGAATGAATAACACGTGTTTTATTTTAGTTATTTTTGTTTTGTTACGCTAAAGAAGTATAACTTCTTACGTGAGTACATAAGTACACACACACACACACGTTTTATATCAATGTGAACAAAGTTAAAAAGTTATAACGCCCACAATAAAAATGAATATTGACAGAGTAGTGGAAAAATGAATATTTTTGCTTGTTAACCGAATACCTTTGTTTACTGTAGAATATTATTATATTGTATGGAGATGGGATGGAAATCCTTGATTCAATATTATAATCTCATATTATAGAATTTTTAATATAAAAATAATAATGACTAGTTGAGTAAAAAATGAGAAAAATTGTTTTAAAAATCAATACTTATTTATTATTAATTGGTATATAGGAACGTTTTGCACATAATGGTAAGTTATACAAGCATGTTCGATCCTGCTGGATATCATATTGAATTTTTTTATTCAGATTTTAAATAAAAAATATTATTTTTCGCAGGTACATTAATTTTGTTCATTTAAAATTCGAAAATCTGGCATGATCATAAAACGGTGGATGAAATATGATATCCAGGATTTATAAACTATTATTATATATTAATTTCTGAACAAAATTAATTTGTTAAAATAATTTCTATACGATACCATAGATAAGAGTGTACGATATTATGTCACTGCTTTTTGACAGTTTGACAGCAGATTTTCTTTTGTGGTCACTTGGAAGGAAAGTCCAACTTGGCCTCTAAAAAGCTTGGCGTGCTTAGCAGAGCAAGACAGTATTTCATGCCGTCACATCGCTTGCAACTTTACAAAGCGCAAATCCGGCCTCACATGGAATACTGTTCTCATCTCTGGGCCAGGGCACCCCAGTGCCAGCTCCTTCCACTTGACCGCATCCAGCGCAGGGCGGTTCGAATCGTCGACGACCGAGTTCTTTCTGATCGGCTCGATACACTGGCACTACGTAGAGATGTTGCATCTCTTTGTGTATTTTATCGCATTTACCACGGGGAGTGCTCGGAGAAATTGTTCGGACTAATTCTAGCCGCTCAATTTCACCATCGCACATCGCGACAAAACTTGCGATACCATCCATACCACCTGGATTCTTCCTCGCACAATTTCCTTGTGGAATCGATTACCACCAGCGATTTTCCCGGACCGATACGACTTAGGGACCTTCAAGAAAAAAGCCTACTCCTTTTTAAAAGGCCGACAACGCATCTGCAATTCCCTTGGTTCCCCTGGTGTTGCGGTTGTTTATGGGCGGCGGTAGTCACTTGCCATCAGGTGAGCCGCATACTCGTTTGCCTCCTCTCCTATAAAAAAAAAAGATCTATAACAAATACGACCACAAAACTTGGCGCTTAACAGTGCGGCGTAGACACGCATGATGAGCTAATGACGTCACACGAAAGTACTACCAAAAAAAGCACTTTACAAACTGTAGTTGTCTCTCTTTTCTATTGCAGCTACTGCTTTGTTAAGGAGAGACAAAACTGTTTTTGACAAGTGTGTGTCGATGTTATAGATATTTATATAACTATTATTTCTATAGTGGAATATGCCCTCTCCATAGGTCTATATGACAACTTATTATATTCTTTGACACATTGACAGTGACAGGTAAACAAATAATCCACGGACACGGAAATAATCAATTGCAATCGCAAAAATCTCGCTAAAACCGAAAATCATGAAGGCGACGTTAATATTTGATAGTGTTAACAATTTATTATTTTCTAAATGGGATGAATCTTTTTTATCTCGTATGAAAACTTTAAATGAACAGGTAATATTATTTCAACAGTTTTCTTCTATTTTAAACTTCACTAAACAATTTGTATAGAAAATATGTAATAAAATTCAGGAATGGTTTCAAACATAGTGCATCTGTTATATTTAGAACTTGCTGTTCCCCGCGACTTCGCCCGCCGACGATTGGATTTCATGTGTTTTAATTTTTTTGCACGGAACCCTAATTCTCTTTCAAAAACAAAATAACATAAGTTACTCCTTATAACATCAGCTATCTTCTAGTGAAAATCCCGTCAAAATCGGTCCAGCCATTCCGGAAATTAGCCAAAACAAACAGATATACAGACAGACAGACAAAATTTATAAAAATTGTGTTATAAGTATCGTATATAATTTCATATGCATTTAGAAAAAGCTGTAACTTTGATATTACTAACAGACACTTCAATTTAATTTATTTGTATACATTAGATTGGGACACACTTGTTCCTGTTATTTTGGCAAAACTTAAGATTAACGATAGCTTAATTTGTAAGTGTGGACTAGAGGAATGTACAATCGACCATAATTTTTTTAACTGCCCTAACCTCTCATTTTCATTATACAATTTTCTTAAATCTTATAAAGTCTGATAAATTTAGTTTACACTCCTTAACTTTATTAGACTTCATATCCATTAAGATTTAGCTATAGCACTTTTACCACTGATATCCATTTTATTATATTAGCAATCATTTTATACAGTTATCTATGTTAATTCTGTACACTTCATATCCATTGAGATTTAGCTGTAGAACTTTCACCACTGATATCCATTTTATTATACTAGCAATCATTTTATACAATTATCTATATTAATTCTCTAGACATATCCATTAAGATTTAGCTATAGAACCTTTTTTCCCCATCGGTTATCAGTTGTTCAAGTTTTATGGCCAGCCTAGTGTCACCTCAGCTAAGCGAAGTGTAAGGTGATCGCTATTAGATGAATTAACGACTTTGTAATTCAATGGAATTCGATGGATGCTGGTGACTTTGTTTTGTAAAATACCTTAAGAGAGGACTATATTGCAACAGTAGACTTTTTATGAGCTTTAATGGATGGATAGTTGAATCGATAGATAAATCTATTAGTTCATTAATACAAAAGCATTATCTTGCGTATTTTGCTTGACATAATATATATGTGTATATAGCATTAGCTTGCTGAAAATAATCAGTAAATTTAATTATCCGTGTGGCTTTTCTATAATTTTGGCTAATGTTTATGATGAAACAAAACATTTGACCACCACTGATATCCATTTTATTATACTAGCAATCATTTTATATAATTATCTCTGTTAATTCTTTCAAAAATAACTTTGTACTTTGACTTTCTTGAAATAGTGGCACTGGCAGAATCCATTGGTAGTTGCAAAACTAGAAAAAAAAATATGCAAAATCAACGATATTGGCACCCTTATGCTAAAATAGGAATAAATTAACTATAGTAAAACTTCCTTTTTTACATTCTTTAATTAAAATATTTTTGCCAGTAGACAAATTTTATACAGTGGAACGTCGATAACTTAAACCTCGTTAAGTCATAATCCTCAGTAAGACAAAAAATTGCCATTCACTTCCGCTGAACCCCTAAATATGTGATATCTCAAAGTATTTAAGCCTGTAATGCAAACAAAATGTTATTTCCGTACGAGGTATTGATAGTAGATGTTAATATTTAATAACTTGAATTTGAAAAAGCAAACTCCTCAAACATCAAAGTTAGTGAAATATAATGAAGTCTTACTTGGAATTCCCTGTACTCATAGCAAAAAATGCAAAAGAAATGGTTGTTGCTTCTGTTCTAGCGTGTACTTCTATCATGTCCAATGAATGAATACATTCATTAAATTTTTCAAGTAACATCTGTGTACCTAGTTTATGTTTGAGCTTATTGCTTAAAATGAAGTTTATTATCAGTCAGTACTTATTTGTCTGTTGGCTAGCAACATCATGAGAAATAAACGGAAATTAACAACTTTAAATCTATGTGAGTAACTAGTTATCAATGTGCTATAAATAAATATGTACCTTAAAACTAAGTAACATTTTTATTTAACAATGACTACAACTCGTTAAATATTCTTAGAAATTGCGCCATTCTAACTCGAAATTTTAGCAGATCCTTTGTATCTAGAAATTCTTGTTAAGTTGAAAACTCATAAACTCAGAAATTTTTAGCATTTCCCTTGAAATTTGATTTATTGAGATTCCACTGTATATTTTCTGGGATTTTATTTTAAAGTCTATACATTGCCCCAAAAATGAATTACTACCTCTATCTAATATTTACAGAATTAGTATCACTTATTTTTTGAAAACTACTTATATTTTTGTGAACATACATTGCATTTTCAAATATTTGAGTTCTTCACTTAAATATGAAATAATAAATTTAAGAGCATCACTTCTTACACCACAGTGTTGTAGTTTCCTGTTTAACGTCTTATTGGTATACACTATCAAATGCTTTGATAGATTACAAAATATACCCAAAGCATCCAACCATTGAAAAAATTGTATAATCAAGTTAACACCAGCACTACATGTCAACCCTAATTGATTTGTATAAATAAAATTATTTACATTAAAAAATTTAACATTTGTTCAAGAATATTTTTTTTAAATGTTAGTAATAGTACAGAAATAGGTCTAGAATTGAGGTCAAATGTGCTAGCAGATTTAAATAAAGCTATTACTTTAGAATATTTTTTTTATAATTTTATAAGAAAACCCACTACATATATAGTTATAATAGCATGTACAGATGTGATCATATATTTTATAGAAACAATAACTTTAGGGAAAATCCCCCACAGATCTGCAGTTTTCTTAATATCAATAATCAATATAATACTTTATGAAACGTAAAATTTTCTGTACAGACATTTACATTTTGCATAAGTAATGATTCGGCAACTTTGTGATTGAGATTGGAATTTCAATTAAATATTTCTCAAAAAACAACAAGCTACTTCCAGATCTAATTTTCATTTGTGCTAACATTTAATTACCCCTAAATTACTGTACATACATATAAATTTGTTTTTTTTTTTTAAATTAAATTATTGCCCTTACCAATTTGACTAATAATTATACTCTATGTCATTATAATTTTATTCAAAGCCATCTTAATTTTATTGCTTAAATGCAGACTTGGCTATGGGTGTTCTCCACTTTTAAGTATTCTAGAATATATTTTGACATATTATCTATTTCTCATTTATTGAATGCCGTGCGACTGTACAAAGATAACGGCTTAGAGGTTAAGATAATTTCAAATTTGTAGAAAATAAGCTTAAATAATGTTATATTTAAAAAATCAGTATTATATATCAATATTTATATTTGTTTTTGTATTTTTAAATATAACATTGCAAAAATTATTATTTTTATTGCCTTAAAAGAATGCCATTAATTAAGTAAAGTAAAATTTTTACATTTTTAGAGTTCTGACGGAAACATAACTGACAGTTATAATGTAGCTCAGTTACTTTCCCCAATTATAACTTCTCAGCGTGTGATGGCTGCACAGTTTGGCAATACCTATTCATCTATACAGTGCAAGGATAATACTGTTATCGTCTTTGATGAGGTATTAATTTGTTTCTAAGTCACTTTATTTTCATTTACATAATAAATAATTTTGTCTTATGTTCTATTTAAGTCAAATAATTTTATAAAATGGAATTGCCACAGTTTTCATTAGTTGAGGATGTGAAGTGACCCCTTACTAAAAATAAAGTCATGAAAATAAATTATTTTCATATTATTGTATAGCTGTTTCGTTGGCCTATTATCATTTTTATTATAGTAGAGGGGGCAAACGAGCATACGGCTCACCTGATGGTAAGTGACTACTACCGCCCGTGAACAACTGCAACACCATGGGAATTGCAGGCGCGTTGCCGGCCTTTTAGAAAGGAGGAGTAGGCTCTTTTCTTGAAGGACCCTAAGTCGTATCGGGCCGAAAAAGTCGTCGGTGGTAAACTATTCCACAGAAAGTTCGTACGAGGAAGAAAACTCCTAGTAAAACGTACTGTGGCGGACCGCCGAACATCCAGATGGTGTAGATGGTTTTGCCGCGATGTGCGTTCGTGAAATTTGACGGCTGGCATTTCTCCGAACAATTCCTCGGAGCACTCCCCGTGGTAGATGCGAAAGAAAATGCAAAGGGACGCACATCTCTTGGCAGCGTCAGTGAATCTAGCCGATCGGAAAGGACTCGGTCGTCGACGATTCGAGCCGCTCTGCGCTGGCTGCGGTCAAGTGGAAGGAGCTGACAATGGGGGCTGGCACTGGGGAGCCCCAATCCAGAGGTGGGAACAGTGTTTTATGTGCGGCCGGACCTGCGCCTTGTATAGTTGCAGTCGCTGTGCCGGCATCAAATACTGTGCCGCTCTGGTGAGCACGCCAAGCTTTTTAGAGGCCACTATGGCCTTCTCTTCCAAATGACCACGAAACTGCACGTCACTCGATATGTCGACGTGGAAGATTCCGATACTGGCTGAGGCAACAAGGGGAGTGCCTTGAAACTGAGGAGATACGACAGGAGCGACCAAACTATGGCTGAAATCTGCCTCCGATGGGTACCACTGAGGAAGGAATAAAAAGTTCCATACCCTGAAGTACCACATCAGTTGCAGAATAAGCAACAACGTTTTAATCGTTCGGTGAAGAAGCAAACCCGCCCCAAGGGTAGGATACAAAGAAAGACCGCATCCTATCCCAATCGGCCGACCTATATAGTGCCAAACACGGCGAAAGCCTGCAGAATGAAACTGCGATGTCAGTGTGAGTGACACCACACTCCGGACTACACAATGGTCCAAGGAGCCAAGAGGAGCGTCAACGGAGACCTGATATCTGTCCGGTTGAGAGGTCAGCAGAAGGTCCAACAGGGAAGGTTTATGATCAGACCATATGCCAAGCAAAATTATGAACAGATCAAAATCGCATCATCGGTTAAACATGAACCGAGCCCTTCGGCGTGGTAGGCGTTACAATCGCCTAGGATCGCGATCTTTGCGGATGGGATCTGCTGTAGCACGGAATGTGAAGCCATTTGGACGTGGTCTATGAGTCTGTCTGTTTCGTCATTACCGCTATGGGACCTATAGAGGCACCCGTAGACGCGCGGATGGTCGTCGTTGTCTACGCGTAGACAAAGGATGGACAGGTTCGAACCTTCAAGACTGCCGAGGCGTCGAGAACAGATGTCGTCTCTGACGTATACGCAAACTCCACCCGGGGGGCACAAAGGAGGAGGATAGGAGAGATACGAAGTATCAGTCGGAGAGGACACCAGCATCACGGTCAGAAAGAGCAAGGCCGGCTTCGCCGTTTCGAGATGGTAGTGGGCGGCGTTCCTGAAGTTGCAGAAATTCACGAATAGCGTGGCAAGGGTTGCCTTGGTCTTGTTGTTCAGCTTGCCCCATGCAGTTATTGTCTTGAGCGGAATTTTGCTCGCCCACCGGGCAGCCTGAGCACCTACGCTCAGGAGTGGATTAGCTTGGTCGTGGATGCACAGCGAGGGATTCTCTATTACCAGTGCTTCTGTTAATACATTTAATTCCGCTACCATGTATGAGGGGGGGGGGGGGGGAATTGAGCCTCCGTCCACATGCACTCGCTAGAAGAAACGCAGAAGCAGAGCCTACGCGTTTCGTCTGGTGCTACGCCAGTATTCTGCAAGGTCGTGGTACCACCCCGACTCGAGCCGGCTCATACGTGCAACAGCAAAGCTACCGCGTGGCTCTGCTACTGTTAAACACTACCACTTTTAAAAATAATGTTATTATAGTAATTCTGCTTCTATTGTGAGTGGGCATTAAAAATAATATAATATTGATTTTATGTTATTTTCAGTTTCTTGACCATGTATTTATGATTATTACTAAAGATAATATAGATGATGCTCATAGAGAGTTACTCGATTGCAAAACCTTGGTACAGCACATTTGTGGACAAAATATTGACTTGTAAGTTTTTATCATCTTATATTTTATCTCAGAAAAGATAAAGAAGTTAGAGAAGCTACTGTAACTATTTTGTATGAAAAACATTATCCATTGCCAATTACATACCAATTTTTTTTTAATATAATATAAGCCCGTGATTGACTTCTATCCCACCTTAATGTATATAAATGTTGATACAGCCAAAGATTGTAAAGCGCACTAACTTACCTTAACAAGGCCTATTTACTTATTTCAACGAAGCAAACCATTTGGTACATAATATGGTATGTTGACAACAAAGGGGTGGAATGTAAATGGAGGAATTAATTCATGTGAATCCTGCACTTACTCTCTGAAATCCCTTTTAAATACCAAAATGCTGGCCACGTTGCACCTGTGCTCGAGACTGGAAGATTATTTCGAACCATATTGATGTCACCAAAAAGTTTCTCAGCACGCCTTTCCATTGGGAACTGACTTAATAGTCTAAAATCACTAGGTGACATTTTGAGGCACCAGCACATATATGGCAAAAAACTCCTTGCACAACCAGACTTGCGCTTTATATAGAATAAGCAGTTTTCCCAACAAGATGTACCGCCGCACCTTTGCAAGGACACCTTACTTTATTTCAACTGCTTTGGTTCACGGCTTGAATGAATAAACGTGGTAGAGCCATGCTACAGCTATATTACTGGTATATTTGTAGCACGAATGGGTCGACTCGACCGGGGAAGGTCCACGCTCTCACAGAATACCTTCGTAAAATAGCAGCTTAATGCTGCTGTGTTTCGTATGGTGAGTGTAGAGAACCGGAGACCCTTTTTACTGGAAAAGAGGCATTCTATCTTAGTTCTCACAGGTGACAACGCATCTGCATTTTGATTCGTAATCGAGGATAGATGCAGATGTCTATGGGCCACAGCAACCACTTAACATAAGGTGGACTGTGTACTCGTTTATCACCCTTATCCTATTAAAAAAAACCTCCTGAAGTTCAATTTGTAGGAAACCTATACTCCCAGCAACTGAAAGCAGTTGTTGAATTCCAATGATACATTTCAGAAAGAATGAGCCAAGCTTAGCTGACTCCTTTTGAAGTGAAGAGACATACTTGTGTTTTAGAGGTGTGGAATCTCACAAGATTGTTATCACCCCTTTCGAATACTGCCTGCAGTGTTCTCTTACGTACTATGTGTGATCCTGTATTTTCTAACCACCCAACTCCAAAACTATGCAGCCACCGTGTACTCATATAAGATATATTATACAGGACATAAGATAAGCGACAGAAACGTTGCTGAGAGAAAGGCCCCCTGATGAGTTTCAGCTCCGTTGTCATAGGCACGGAAGAGCAACCTTGAACAACAACTTGAATAGACCATTCACTCAAAACGTCTTGAGAAAAAAGAATAAGCCGTATGCTAAAAGTTTGCCAGAACCTGTCAAAGGTTCTTGAGCCATCAAGGGAAACAACCATATTATCCCCGTTTTTCCCTAGTGCTTTGCTTCACCTCGAATGTGGTATACGCTAGAATATCCCCTGTCGACCAACTATAGCGGAACTGTTAGTCGCTGAGGAGGTCGTTCTGCTCTAGGTATGCCAAAAAGTGGGCGTCGAATATACGCTCCATAATCTTGTCATGTAATCATGGATGTAATTGAGATTCTCTGGTAATTGGCAGGGTGAGCATGGCTGCCTTTTTTGGAACAGGCTGCACATTGGCCAGCTTTATTTATTTGGGTGCTATTCCAGTCCTTAGTAAAAGGTGGAACAAGCATGTCAACACATGAGGCAATTCGGTTGCACAACCCTTTAGAACTACAGCTGGAATACCATTTGGTCCGTCAGCTTTGATACATGCGGCGCTTGCGGCTATCGAATATTAATATCGGCACACGTCCAAAGATCTTTGAACTATCTTTGAAGCGTTGCCGAGACGGTGTTGTCAGATTAAAAAAAAAATTGCTTAATTTGAAGCAATTTGTAGTAAAAAATTTGTATTTTAAATAACATTCTTACATTATGTTCATTAATATTATTTATTAATTTTTTTTTTGGGTTCCCGTTTCGGATCGGACAAGGTTTTCTTTACATATTATATTACAATACATTTTATTAAATTACATATTGCTTGACACTAAAATAATCATTTACTATCTTATCTGGTATTTTATGAAAAAATTGGCAATCTCACAATGTGTATTCAAAAATACATTAGTATAATAATAGTAATATTAATGTTTTCCAGACTAATCATTTGCGCAAGATAGTCCGATGGGACGGTAATTCAACACGACCGGAGGGGGATCAAGGCTTTACGTGCTTTTCTAGGCACGAGGGTGAAACACGGCCAACTTCTTGATTCCGGGCTGCTTCTGATATCTTCTTGATAGAAAATCCCTTTTGTACGCCGATGATCAAGTCATATTTGCATCGTCGGCGGCCGAGTTGCAAATGATGGTTACTTTAATGAATTGGTCATTGAAAGAAAGGGGTATGAAAGTGAACGCAAGTAAGACGAAAGTGATGGTTTTTGAAAGAGAAGAAAGTAAAACTTTATGTGAAATAAGAATAGAAGGGGAGTTGATTGAGCAAGTGGATGAGTTTGTATATTTGAGATGTTTATTTAGCAGGGATGGTAGATATGATAAGGATATAGAACGACGAGTGAACGCAGGAAATAGAGTGAATGGGGCTCTATACGCTATTGTGAGGAGTCAGAATGTGTCAACTAAGGCACGTATGGCAATTCATAATGCTGTGTTAGTACCCACTTTAATGTATGGTAGTGAAAGTTGGGTCTGGCAGAAGAAGCATGAGAGTAGAATAAATGCTGTAGAAATGCGTTCCTTAAGGAGTATGCTAGGGCTGAATCTGAATGACAGGGTGAGAAATAGTGTAATAAGAGAAAAGTGTGGCTTGCAAGATGACGTTGTGTCACAAGGATTAAGAAAGGAATGCTTCGGTGGTTTGGTCACGTAGAAAGAATGAACGAGGAAAGAGTGACAAAGCAAATTTATGTTGCAGAAGTGAACGGCAGGGTCGGGAAGGGACGCCCTAGACGAAGGTTTATCGACCAAATCGGCGATACATTAAAAATGGGCCAGATTAGGAGTACCCTTAACCGACGAGCGTGTATGCGTAGATATATGGATGTAAAAGAGGCGAGAGAGGTGTGTCAGGATCGCGCCAAATGGAAGTCCGTAGTCTCTGCCTACCCCTCTGGGTGACAGGCGTGAGTGTTTATGTATGTAAAATCCCGCTAGCTAATTTTTTCTCGACCAGAGGTTCGAACCCGGGATCACTTGATCAGCAGTCGCGCCACCATGACATGACACCAATCAACGAGGCAGTCACACCAGGCATTAGATTACTTGAAGATATGCGCGCGGCTTACGCATAGCTGAGGTTTTATGTTCCAACATTAAAGACAACTGAACTCAACCTCAACTCCAACAACTTTTCAGAAAGCTAAAAATTGCTCACGCTGCTATTCTGTGAGCCGGCCCGCAAAAGCTGTTGCGTGACCACATTAATAAAATTCAGAAATTATGAAATTACTTGTTGGATTGGTGTTCTATTATGTTTAGTCTCTCACGTTCCTTCCTAACAGGACTCTTTATCTATTTTTAATTCATTCTATATAATTTATGTACAACGTTTTAGATTACATTCACCTGTATACCAAGACTGGTTGTCAGTGTTGTTAGATAGCCGCAACAAAGGTGATTCTATACCTGGGGCTAGTGGTGTAATTGGTGAAAGTGGAGCTACAGTAGCAGCACTTAATGCTCTAAAAGCAATAGCGAAAGAAATAAAATGCTCGACATATCAACATTTTCACTTATTGCTTTTTGTGGGAGATAAAATGTTAGCATTGTATTCAAGGTAAATTGTTCATTACTAATAATAAATGTTAAAGTATGAAGTTACCGTTTTAATGAAGTGGCAACTCTGAAATATTATTAAACCTCCAGTACCTCGATTTGTGATTAAAACATTCTTATACAAGAACTATTCTAAATTAAAAAAAGTTATGATTTTCTATTTTTCTACCGATTACATAAAGGAGTCCGTACTCAATGAGGGCATCCACGACTTATTCTGCCACCAGGGTGGCGCCACTAGAAAGTGAGGTATAATATTTGACAGACTTCATAGCGGGGAAGTTATTTGTTGGGAAAATGTAAAGGTTAATGTTTCTTTTTGTACTATTAGCTATATTTTATATTAATAACATTAAAAAAAAATAAACCAAACCTAATAAGAATAAGCTCGTTCTAACGATCATTTCATTACTGGAGCCATAAAAAGGAAAGGAAAGAAAAAGTAATGTGATGTTAGTTGTTACGTGGGTTAAATATTATAGGTATATTAATATTTTTATAATATAATTGAGTAAACTTGGCAGATATAAAATAATTTTTTTTTTCGAAAAAGTAAATTTTAACAAAATACAAAATCAAGAATTCTGTGCGATTGCGAAAAATGATACTAACGTAGTACGTACACTAAAGCGCTGCTAGTGGTAGTAGATATTCGCGATACGCGATACAGACTAGAAATGGAGAGTATCGATCACCGGCAAACAGTAGTATAGTGCAAATAAACTTAGACTTTATACTTTATCGGTGTTCTAAAATTTAAAAACTGGTATATCTCTACTGTGCTTACCGCAACGCTTGGCAAGACTAGTGATCGCAATCTATCGAAAACCATGAGATCATTTTAGCAGTTCCCATAGTCGCCTCTTACCACACCCACAGGACGAAATGGGACGATGGATTCTGTTACGCAGCCATCACACGGCCAATTTATAGTTCGATAACTCTGACCACTTATACAATAGGTTGTTAGACAATAGGTAATTGAGCAACTAAGAGCATATTTAAGTTTTAATTTGGATAAAAAATTTAAACAAATTTTATTCTTAATATTTCAGTCGTGGCAGTGAAGATCTTATGCCACCGGACTTAATACTCCTTAGTATACAATGCATAGCTGCCCAGGAATATTGGAAAGATGTAAACGAATCAAATTCAAAGGAAGTCGGCCCTAATTCTTGGATACCATGTAAATATTATACATCTATATTTGAGCCATCATTACTTTTTGGTTTCATTAGACAATGGCAGATACCAATCTGATGGTAGGGCCAAATTTTAGGCAGAGGATTGTACGTGATTTCAGCGATAGTTATTTAATTTTACAGGGCTTTCAGAAGAAAATAGTGCAATAGTACATCTGTGTGCGGGTCCAGCGGTAGTGCCATGTGCACCGCATTCTCTTCACATTGCTGAAGTAGCGCCTCGTATTGTATTCGTAGTGTTGGTAGATACGGAGTTAAGGTAATATTTCTTCTATATTCAAAGCTAAATTGTATAATCATCCAGGTAATTAAACGCTTAAACGAAATTCTTTCGATTTGCGAGAGTGGTCACAAGTTTATTACTCGATTCAAACTTAATTGCTATGAAATTCGTTGCGAGTGCGGCTTCGCGCAGGCACACTCAGGTTCACAATACTATCTGTTTTCTTAGTACACAATATATAGACATAAATCCCTTATCTGCTATACCTTTAATATGATAATAATTATACCGATAATTAACCGGAGTAGAGCTATGCTGCAGCTATATTAGTAGTATAGTTGTAGCACGAATGGGTTGGCTCGACCGGGGAAGGACCACGCTGTGACAGAATACCAGTGTAAAATAGCTGCTTAACACTGCTGCGTTTCGTATGGTGAGTGTAAAGAACCGGAGACCCATTTTACTGGAAAAGAGGCATTCTATTATAATTAGTCCTCACAGCTGACAACGCATCTGCATTTTAATCCGCAAACGAAGATAGATGTAGCTATCTATGGGCAACAGTAACCACTTCATGAAGGCATCATCATGGTCAAATTCGTATAAGATAATGCCTCGTTTTGTACTTCTGATAGTCTCTAAATATGAATTTTAAAATATGCGTGTTGTATTTCTCTAACAATAATTTTGAAATAAGTATTACCTAATTTTATAACTGTCGTAATTGCAGAGACATCGGTATCGCTGCACAAATGTCTAGTCAGATACTTTCGAACCTAGAGAGACTCTTGTTACAGAGGAACTTGGAGTTGCTGCCTAGCACACTTGATAGCTTGGAGGCTGCACTAAAGAAGGTACTTAAGTATTTATATACTAATAATCCGTGCGAACTGTTTTTTAAAACTTATATTAAAGAAACTTTATTTATTTAAAACCTTTTGAAAAAAAGTAGTAACGGGTTTTATCCGAAGAACTATCTATCTGTATCGGGTTTCAGACCTTTCCATACTGATGTACAAGTGGTAAAATTAAAAATGTTATGAACACATCTGCGTACCCATACATACAGGCGTGGTTTTATGTTGTGTGATTGCGTAAACAGTGCATGATTTGCTGCCATTTTTTGAAGAGTTCCGTTGTCTGTCTGGAAATTCATCATCAGATCTTTACGAAATTTAAATGGGAATTTTGGAATAAACCTCTTTCGAACAATAAAAAATCCGTCTATATATGACGGAGTTATGCCCGAACATATGTACATAAAAATATACAAGTTGTCCCGTAAGTAGTGGACCAACGAGGTATGGAGAATAGAGGGCATTAATATCTAAGGAAAACACTTATATTTTATTATGTTTTAGGTCTTGTAGTTTTGAAGTTACGTTTTTTTTTTCAAATATTAAGATGAAATCGTTGCAAAATTTATTCTAAGTTTAAAATTTTACAAAATATTTTACCATTTTTTTGTTATTTTTTGTTCTAGGTAGTTACGCATACATTGGGCTTCCTAATTAAAATGATAGTCAAGAGTAATTATCAGTAACATGAAAATTAAACAATAAAAGATGTGCAATTTTTTTCTTGAAAATGTTTCAAGTGATATTTGAACGAAGCTGATATAAAAAAAATGTATTATAAGCCTTGTGGAACATTATTTTAATAACATCTACATATACCAATTTCAAAAAAGTATAAAACTGTAGTTGAAATAATTTAAAAATATTGAATTCGCGTATGATTTATATCTAACAAATCTTCAGGTAGCCAACCTATTATGTCATTTTGAGAATTAGTTTGCACGTGCACTCTTTAATTCTTTTGTATTGTTTCCGACCAATTATAGACGATACTCCAACCCCCCTTTCCCATTTTTAACGCAGGGCTCCTTCATTGACTTGCTTACAGCTCGGACTACACATGTTTCTCTCGATCCTATTAGATTATTATTCTTTGTTGAAGTGCGCTTGAATTGAACCTCGTTTTTGCTTGTGATTTTTTTATAGGATAAGGGTGACAAGCAAGCACACAGTCCACCTGATGGTAAGTGTAAAATGGAAACCATAACTTCAAAACTACAAGACCTAGGACAATAAATTTAAGTGTTTTTCTTAGATATTAATTCCCTCTATTCCCCATACACCGTTGGTCCACTACTTACGGGACAGTCTGTATAACATCCGAATTTTGAAGATTCTCCTTTTTTGAAGTCGGTTAAAAACCTCAAATAGTTTATTTGTAGAAAGTTTTATGAAAAAAGACGGGTGGCTCATGCATTTTACAATCTAGAACTCAGTTCGGTAATCGATGCTAGTACTGTACAGAACATCATCATTATCATCATCATCACCATTATCATCATTATTAAAGCCTAATGGGACCACTCCTAAACATATGTCGCCGTAAACTCCGCTCACTGACACAAGGTTGTCACTTGAGAATAACCTTTCTTCCACATGGGTTGCCGGTTCTCAAAGTGATATGGCAGGCTCATTGCCACTTCAGCTTATCCGTTGGGCTATGTCGGTTTCTCTGGTTCTACTGCGAATATTTTCGTTACAGATTTTATCACGCAGATAAACTTAACATAGCCCTCTTCTAAGGTCACAGAGTAAGTCATGCCGGCAAAATACATTGTTGCTTGTACACTTTTATTTTTTAAGAAAACTGTACGAAAAGATGTGGCGTAATTTCCCGAACGCTGTGTCGAGTTTTATTTATAGAATAAGGGCGACAAGCGAGCACACAGCCCACATGATGGTAAGTGAATGCTGTGGCCTATAGACATCTACATCTATCCTCGTTAAAAAATCAAAATGTAGATACGTTGTCATCCCCGAGGACTAAGATAGAATGCCTCGTATCCAGTATAAAGGGTCTCCGGTTCTCTACACTCACCGTACAAAACACAGCATTGAGCTGCTATTTTACGCTGGTATTCTGTGAGAGCGTTGTCATTCCCCGGTGGAGCCGAACTATTATATAGCTGAAGCATGGCTCTACCACGTATAAAAGTTAAATCCATCGATTGACCTCTTGATAGAATTCAGACTTACTAGGTGTTTTTTATAAAACTGAAGTGAAATCTAATAGTCCACCTGATGATAAGTAGCTAATCAACTGGCTAGTCAACTTTGAGGACTAAGATGAAGTACCCAAAATGCCTGTAATTATATTAGATCTCTATATTCTTTTCACAGGAATACAGAATATGCACCGCTGTTTGGCAGCAGAAATTGCTAGACGGTGTATCTACAAGATAATATATAAAGTTACCTACTTAATACCCATTAGTATAAAATTATTGTAATTTTTTTTCGCAGACAACAGACGCTCTACGCAAAAACAAATCAAACGCAAACTTATGTGCGCGTCTTACGAGCCGTATGTTGGAGTTACGCAAGTCTTGCACGACCACGACTCCGCTGACTCCGGAAACGACAGCTACCGCCATGCACACGGCACTAGATGTCGTAATTGAGCAACTTAAGCCCGACATACCCAGTTTGAAAATGGATCAGCCCTTAAAAGAATTGACAGGGTTACTCGCACCCTATGTCGAGTTCCTACGCGTGAAGGCGATGCGATACTTCAGCTTGGGATCATATCCTTTTAAATTATACGTGGTGTCATTGTTATCTATGTCTATGTGTTATGTATTATTCATTGTCGTGTTTAGATTTTGTAAATATTATGGAGCAACAGACCATTTGTTAATGACTTAGACCTTTGATACAACAATTTAGTCGATTCTAGGATATAAATCTACTGTAACACAATTGGACATACGTATACGTCTACAGATATTTTCTTCTGGCCGATTTTATATTTAACTATCGGAAATCATTTGAAAAATATCAAATTTCCCTGCACAGCTATTCCTATTCATGTCCGCCAAGGTGTCCAACAAGGTCCGTAAGGAGGTAGATTAGGACACTAGCAGTACTTCCAGTAGCAGTTCTCCAAAAATCCTAGTGTTTATGTTAAATCCAATCCAAACCAATCCAATCCAAAGTTATTTTTTTTAGTAATTGTATTTTGAAGTTATACACAAAACTTCAAATTGATTACTAAAAAAAAATAACCATGACTTCGCCATAACCTGCGCTTGATTATGTATTTTAAATTAGTAAAACTCATAAAAAGCAATTTATTATTGTGTAAATAGTAGCCGTACCGTGTATACTCACTGGACTGTTGATTGGTCCCATTCTAACGAAATGAAATAAACGGTTTTGGCCCTACAAAAACGTTTGACCTACAAAAAAGGCTTCTGGTTAAGCAAACTCCAAGACTGAAAACATAAAAAGCTTTTAAAGAGGATTTTGATTTTACGCATGTTCCGTTCATTCCTCATGGCGAAATATTAAATTTTAATTATTTGTTACGCTCTTAACAATAGCGCAACTATGTACTCGTAACAATATGTTTCATTTATTCTCAAACTTGGTGAAGCTGTGTTGTGTTTGTGCCCATACATTACTCGCTCGTACTGTTGAATATTTTTACGTTGTTATTTCATGAAGGCTTTTTTAATGGATATAAGCGCTTTGAATTGTAATGGTCATTAAACTTATTTGTTGGTAATTTTCGAAATCATCATTATTATGCTTTATCATTTTGTTTTATTGCCTTTTACTCGTACGATACATTGTTCGCAATTTAAACAATTGTTTCGCTTAATGTGGGCTGTAAGTGCACGGGTGAGACCGACGCGAGTTCCATAACGCTGCACAAATATCTGGAGGAGTTCCCCGGTCTGATACATTTCATTTACGTGGATCGGACTACGGGCAGATTCTTGGCCCCTGATATGGCGGACTGTGCTGATATGCTGACGCCAGATACGGTGAGTAATAAGTTTTTAAGTTGAAGTAAATGATAGTATTTATTGAATCATAAAACAAATCAGTAATCATATAAGATTTTACAAATATGTTTACGATATTGTGACGGCCCGATAGCGCAATAGCTAAACGTTAAGCTGCGGCACTGCAAACCGCGGGTTCTAGTTCCACACGCAACAACTATTTACGTGGTCTAGTCTGATTCTAGGGCAGGCGGAAAAACTGTCAATGACACATCGTATTATATTTGCGTCGATAGAAAACGATACCTGTCGCTTTACATGCATTTTCTTGTCGCTGACGCTTAGCAACGCGTTTATTGGTACTGTGTGCGGTGATTCAGATATAACAAACAGGTTTAAACATGTTGCGCGGGGAGACTACTTGAATAGGGATTAGGGAAAAAGTACAGCTTATTCCGCTCTGGATTGTGCTTGCGTTTGGTACTTAAGAAAAACTGTAGAGAACTTATTACACCTACCTTCCAAAGTAACAGGCAAAATAAACGAATATTATTCGCTCTTGTAAAAAAAAAAATAAGAAACTCGAAAATCACAAAAATATGCTACTTTCCATGTCAGGTATGTATATTTTACATTTGGCATAAATTATAATGCCGTAAAGTTATTCTACTATCTGTCGGAGACCTTGAGGTTTTTGCAGCATTTCTACCAATACAACCTTTTAATTTTTTAATGTTATTATGAAAACCGTATCGTTTGTTCCGTCACACAGTAAGTTACATACAGGGTTATTTTTCAAAGAGTAGCCAAATTTTAAGCTTAAGACCGTAGTCCTTGATCGTAGGAACTTGAAAAAAAAACACCCACATTGATATTGATATTTTCTTTGTCACACAGACGCATTGCGTAGTATTAGTATCCGCACTCTGGAACTTAAGAAAAACTGTAGAGAACTTATAACACCTACCTTTCAAAGTAACAGGCAAGATAAACGAATATTATTCGCTCTTGTAAAAAAAAAAAATAAGAAACTCGAAAATCACAAAAATATGCTACTTTCCATGTCAGGTATGTATATATTACATTTGGCATAAATTATAATGCCGTAAAGTTATACTACCATCTGTCGGAGACCTTGAGGTTTTTGCAGCATTTCTACCAACACTACCTTTTAATTTTTTTATTGTAATTATGAAAACCGTATCGTTTGTTCCGTCACACAGTAAGTTACATACAGGGTTATTTTTCAAAGAGTAGCCAAATTTTAAACTTAAGACCGTAGTCCTTGATCGTAGGAACTTGAAATAAAACACCCACATTGATACGAGGGGCACACTGAAATGATCGGGTATAGAATATTTCGGATTGAGTTACAATAAAACCTTTTTTAGAATTTAAATACTGGCCTCTTAGAATCTTAATGACATTCAAACAATTAAAAAAAATGTTTAAAAACAAAAACTATGCTGGTTTAAAGTTGACACGTCGTTAACAGAAATGGAGCTCACGCGTAAACATTTCCGTGCCATAATTTATCACAATTTTCGTCGCGGCTTATCTCAAGATAAATGTCTCAGAGAACTTGTTTCGATTTATGATGTTGAAGCACCGAGTCAAACGACAATATACCGCTGGTATGCCGAGTTCAGACGTGGTCGTGTGTAGCTCAGCACTGTTTCTTCTGCAGGTCGACCAAGATCAGTGGTCACACCTGAAAATATTGCAGCTGTACGAACTATTATATTAGATGACCGTCATATGACATACGAGCAGATTCGGGCTGTTATCAGTATCGGAATGACTGCAATTCAGTCGATATTACATAATGAGCTGTCTGTAAGAAAGTTAGTTTTCCGCTGGGTTCCCCACAATTTGTCCGAAAAGCAAAAGGCGGCTCGTGTAGATTGTTGCCGGAATACTCTGCAACGCTTCAACGGAGGGAAGTCAAATGCCGTTTATAATATCGTCTCAGGTGACGAAACATGGATTTATTCATACAAACCTGAAAGAAAACATCAGTCAGCAGTTTAGATCTTCGAAGACGAGGTCAAACCAACGAAAGTGGTTCGCTCCCGCAGCGTGTCAAAGAAAGTGGTCGCTACGTTTGTCTCGAAAAAGGGGCATGTTGCTACAATTCCTTTACAGGAACGCAGAACGGTTACCTCTGAGTGGCATATCACGGTTTGTTTGCCAGAAATGATAGCCGAACTCCGAAAAAATAACCCGAAACGTCGCGTTGCACTCACCAAGCGAAACGCAGAGGTAAACCTCTACTTCACGCTGGTTTTCTGTGAAGTCGTGGTACTACCCCGGTTCGAGCCGACCCATTCGTGCGACAGCAAAAGCTGCCGCGTGGCTCTACCACTGTTGTCTACAAATGCAGAAGCAGAATTTCCACTTCACATTGGTATTCTGTGAGGTTCATTGTTAACACCACACAACAATACACGTTCACTCTTTGAAATATTCGACTCGACTGAGTGAACGACAAGCGTGGCGAGGCGACAAAGCCAACTAATGCGGCCGGGCCGCGCGTGTGAGCGGGAAAGGAAGTTGCGACTCATCGCGACGGCGCGCCAACATGAACTCACGGCGACGGCGGCGCGCTGGTGCGGCTCTCATATCTAATGAGAGACCGTAATGACAATAGTTTAATATAGGAATCTTAATCACGCAAATAATGAGTCCATACATTTCACGCAATTACAATAAATATCACTAGTTAACTGCACTACGGCATACTATTATCTGCATGTATTAGATTTATTTTTTCGAGCAACTGATATCACTGCAACTCTCAACGCTTTCCTGACGAATAATCATAATATGTTGATCTTGCTTTGGGTGACGTAGGTGCGTGATATCGTGAGGCGCGCGATGAGCAGCGTGCGGGAGGGGTACGGCGCGGCGGCGTGGCGGCGCGGCGCGCTGCACGCATGCGTCGTGCAGTGGTGGGAGCGGCGCGGCGCGGCGCTGCGGCCCGCGCGCCCGCCGCACCCCGCCGCCGTGCGCGCGCTGCCGCCGCCCGGCGACCTGCGCCTAGCATTCCACAGGTGCGTACTGTGAGCTGCGCGCTGCCACAGGTGCGTGCGTGCGTCGTGCAGCTCATTTCTTCATATTTTCTTTTATTTTCTCATCCTTATTGATTGCGCGCCAAAACGCATTCCGCGTCAATCGTCTTATATTTATATTATTTATACAACGTGTCCCAAAATTCAACGATAAGCCAACACCGGAGGATAGACCTGCCCCGGACTAATAGGGTAAAAAAAGAAAAAAAAATATATCCCAATTATATTTTAAGTTATATAAAAAAAATGAAATTCTTCAGAAATTGAGACCGTTTATGATATTTTTCACTACCATGACCACAATTTTTTAAATATTTTTTTCTTTTTTTTTTTTATAGGCAACGTGAATAGTACTGCTATCTACCACAATTCTTAAAAACTCCAGAATAACTCTTGTTTTATCACGAAAATTAATGAAACTTATTTTATTCCCTAAATTTTTTGAAGACTTTTACTTTTAACCAAATTTAACTTATCGTGGTGTAAAAAAAAGTATGAACACTAGTATGGCAAGTTTTTTTAAAAATTGACGCAACTAACCAATATTCCAAAATGTTATAATACTCTAGGAAAACAAGTTATAAAAAAATATGGGCCTATTATTTCTTAACAGGGGCCAAATGACGGTCGGGTGTAATAAAAGTATTATTTCTTGAAAAATGTTTAATTTTTCAAAACAAATGGTACAAACAGTTTCACGTATAATTTATTAAGTTATTAACATTATAGCAAATGTTCGAACTGTTTGCCACCAGCATTAATACATGCACGACATCGCCTTAAAAATGATCGTTTTATTTGTCTTGCATATCTTCTGCTATTAATGTAATCAGCAGCCTGAGTGATATTTCGACGAAGCTCGTCCAATGTCACAATGGGTTTTGAGTAGACCCTGTTTTTAAGACAACCCCAATAGAAGAAGTCCAGGGGGTTCAAATCGGGTGAACGGGGTGGCCATAAGATAGGACCAAGTCGCCCGATCCAACGCCCTGGATACTCTTGATTTAAATATTCTCGCACAGGACGGGCATAATGTGCTGGGCAACCATCATTTTGGAACCACATGTTTTGAAGATCACTTAAGGGCACGTCGTTTAACAATTCTTGCAAATCATTTTGTAAAAAGTTTAAATAACTATTGCAATCTAAGTTTCCTTGTAACTCAAAGGGCCCAATTACTTTTCCATTTAATATGCCGGTCCATAGGTTAACCTTGAATTGATATTGGGATTTGTCTTGTCTCATCAAGTGTGGATTTTCATTACTCCAACTATGTAGATTGTGAAGATTTAAATACCCATCTTTCTTGCACGTTGTTTCATCCGACCATAGAATTTTGTCTAGGAAGTGGGGATCTTCACTGTGCCTTTGCAGCATTACACGGCAAAATGTGACCCGTAGCGGATAGTCCCGCGGTAATAACGTCTGCACACGCCTGTAGTGATATGGGTGAAGCTTGTGACGTTTTAATATTCGATGTGCAGAACTTTTCGGGATTCCTGTAGCTTCTTCTATGGCACGTACCGAAGTAGTCGAGTCATTTTCTATCTCCTTGAGAACTTCTTCATCACGATCCAATCTAGGTCTTCCAGCGCTGCTCCTATTGGATGGCATACGACCCTCCGAAAACGCTTGATGCACATTAATAAACACTCGATAATCAGGATATCTTTGAGCATTTGGGTATCTTTCTGGATACAGTCTGCTAGCAGCGTTAGCATTACATCGGCATTCTCCATAGATTAAATGCATATTAGCGTATTCCTGTGGTGTGTACGGTTGCGGCATGTTAAACGCCAAACAGTCCAAAATGCGCCAGAACTCTAAATCACAAAACACACAATCGTAGTCCAAGATAATGCCAGGTCAGTTCAGTTTGCAGATCACTTCCAGTCCAAATAATGCCAGGTCAGTTAAGTTTGCAGGTCGATTCCAGTCCAAAAAGCCAAGCCAAAAGTCGATAGTATGTACGAGGGCCACGTAAGTTGAATTGGGTACGGTGCGCAGTACACAAAGGAGCAGAGCGTACTGAACCGACTTGCTGAGAATAATAACAGCTTCTCTACCTGCCCTATTGTTGTCTCTTTTTAACGTAAATATCTCTATCTATCTATCTCTCTCTAACATCTAAGGTATTAATGCCCCATTCGAATTCCTAGAAATTGTAACAGGAACCCATTTTGGGCATGTAGTAAAAGTGATTACTGACAATTACAATTTAAGGAATTTGGCCCCTGTTAAGAAATAATAGGCCCATATTTTTTTATAACTTGTTTTCCTAGAGTATTATACCATTTTGGAATATTGGTTAGTTGCGTCAATTTTTAAAAAAACTTGCCATACTAGTGTTCATACTTTTTTTTTACACCACGATAAGTTAAATTTGGTTAAAAGTAAAAGTCTTCAAAAAATTTAGGGAATAAAATAAGTTTCATTAATTTTCGTGATAAAACAAGAGTTATTCTGGAGTTTTTAAGAATTGTGGTAGATAGCAGTACTATTCACGTTGCCTATAAAAAAAAAAGAAAAAAATATTTAAAAAATTGTGGTCATGGTAGTGAAAAATATCATAAACGGTCTCAATTTCTGAAGAATTTCATTTTTTTTATATAACTTAAAATATAATTGGGATATATTTTTTTTTCTTTTTTTACCCGATTAGTCCGGGGCAGGTCTATCCTCCGGTGTTGGCTTATCGTTGAATTTTGGGACACGTTGTATATAACAAAGGAAATATATTTTTTTTCCCTGTGTTTATGGTAATAATATAATATGTTAATAAAAAATATAATATTGTGAAGTGACAAACGAACTTATAGTTCATCTGATAGTAAGCGGCTACTGCACTCTATGGACAACTTCTAATAAAGAAGGCTTTAGATACGTTACCACTGTTCGGACTTCTAATTTTTACATTAAGCTTTGATATGCGCTCGAAGTGCTCTGAATCGCTGCAAAGTTTTGATTTAGTATAGTTACTTCTTTTGTTATTCTCTTAAATACTCGAAATTGCTAAATTTCGCATTTTCTTACCAGGCAACTCTTGGAACTCGCGTTCCCAAACGACAGCCAAGGTGTTAGTATCAAGGAGTTGATCTGCATACACCTGGGGCTATTACCAGCTTCTACCGCAGTACAACAGGCGCGTCGACTTGCTCACTCAGTACACGAGTTGGTCGGAGACAACCCTGCCGTGGCAGCGGACTTGCTATAAATTTAGCGAAAAAAGAAATTGAGTTCCAAAATATATTATTGGTATTTGCCATTTATATTATTACTTATAAAATCATATTTTTTTTTATTCATAATTAATAATCCTTAGAGCAATAATACTATAATATTTTATTGCGTCTGAAAAGTTACTCATGTTACTAATTCGAATTATATTACTCTTAGAGTCGAGGGTGACAAACTTTTAAAATAAAATTATTGTGCAGTAGGTGATGAGTAACAAAAAGATAAACAGTTCACAATTTCTGCCGTTTAATAAGAATATCTTATCAAGAATTTTTGACAAAAAATGCTATGTGAATTATCATGTCTCACTGTTATTTTATTTGAATAGCCTGAACATACAAGGTGCAAGAGACAAGAATTACAATTTTTTTCTTTAATTATTCCGATATAAAAAGAATCGCTTAGCAAGAAATCTAGAGTTGCAAGTTCTGAGTTCTGCGGTCCGCGTTGACTTGATCTATGCGATGGCTTAGATCTTCACAACAATAGCGGTCAGACCGCGACTGTCAAAACGCAGAACCACAGAATAAATAATAGTACTACGTAGCCATCGATCACTAATAAAAATAGTGAGCGATGTACGTAGCAGAACTTAAAAACTCTCGCTATGGAATAGGCGCCTAAGACAGACAACGTGAATTTTGAAATTTATACCATAAAATGTAAGAAAAACCATTTTTGCCACTAAAATAATATTGCATGAAAAAAACGGCGATATTATATAGAATGAAATGATTTTTATCGTGCAAAATAGTTTTCATAAACAATATTAAAGTATTAAAAAAAATCTTAAACAAGCATTGATCATGAGTTATGCCAATCCCAGTAACAAACAGTACTAGATCATAGTCATTAAATTTTGTATTACTATGTAATTTATACTTCCAGGGCAGTGGGTGAAAACCATATCACATGATTTTGACATTTACATGAATATCTTTCAAGGGACATATGTGACGATGATGAAATTATATACATACAAAAATTACCATCAGCTCCCTAACCCTTAACTGTATAGTGTATAGAATCTTGTGAACTTTTTTGCCATTTAAGATAAGGATAAGCTAGCGTTAGATACCATCTATAATTAAGTTACCATAAAATTAAACATGCGATTATAAGTAATAACTCGCTTAATAATAAAACTTGTACTTTTAACAGAAAATAATGTTAAGTATTTAAGTGAATTGTTTTTTATTTTTATTAGTTTTGTTATATAATTCATAACATTTTTATTAATGTTAGTATGAATAGCAATAATAAGATTTGCAAATGATAAATGAAGAGGATATCTGGGCTGCAAGAAATTTGAAGATTAACAATCTGTTGTTGTTGCTGTGTGCCCGAACGACCGAGCTAGGGTACCGAGAGGGGCAACTACAGGTAGGAGTAGGACTGACACCTATGAATATTTCTGAAATCATGCCGTATCACCCTGCTTTCTCCACTAAACTGTACCGTTATTTAATTTTTTAAATTACATATTCAAGGGGATTATGGCTATGTCAATAAGTTTCCTTTTATATTTATGTATGTTAAATTTGTTTACTTGATTTCTAAAACAGCGGAAAATTTTTATGTGATATTAGATGATTCCTGGGTTTTCAAATGATTGAATAAATAAATATTTATTTATTTATTCAATCATTTGAAAATCGTATTAAGTGCAGATTGTATTGTAAAACATATTTGCTCTAGTGTCATTTTCCAGGGAGAAAAAAGAGCAATACGTTTGGTATGGATTTAGCGCCGTCCGGATATCCCCATTTATAGACATTGTCAATTTTGTTTCTTAATGGTTGTCAAACTATTCACTCTATTATTTTGTTAAACAAAATATAATATGTTTAAACTGTGTATATAAAATTTCATTTAGATTTTTTTAAATGATTTTATACGATTATGTATTGCCTTAAAAATGTATTTATGATCTCAACATTCCCAAGTTGTAATTTACATATATTACTTATATTAAAAATATACCGATCCAATCACAGTTTTCTTTATTTCAATAATTGTAAATTTTATAAAGATTTGTTTCAACTAGGTTGTCTTAAACTTGTAAAAAATAAAACACCGATAAAAACTGACTTAAGCATATTGACGTTACTGATCCTCAGAACTCGGGCCTCAGGCCAATAAAGAAAGACAGACGGAGCGCTGCAACATTTCAAGTGATGCAGAAACTATGTTCAACTTAACACACACTAGCGCACGTGTCTTTCTTCTTTTTCTTGTTATACTTACACATGAGTGCGTGTTCTTATGTTACAATAAGTTTAGCATGGTTTTGGCTTGGTTTTTGCGTCACTTAAAATATACGCAGCGTCTTTTTTTCTTTATTTGTCTGAGCTTTTTAGCTAGGAATCTTTTGATATATTCGCCAGCTAAAAGCTCTATACATTTAGGTAATTAGTGAAAGTTAACGAAAAACCATTTTCTGGAAGATATTTCTTGTTTTTTCATTTTACATACACAGATTTATTGCACATAGATGAACATTCGGGCCTATAACAATTAATTATAGGCCAACACTTGTTCTGTGCGGGATTCGAACCGAATAAGATAAAATAATGGTCATTTACCCAATGATCGGAGGAGATCAATTAAGTTAAATAAATAGGTAAGAGGGTGTTATGCACCTACCCAGAAGGGTTTGTAGGCGGAAAAGGAGTCCCATCAGCTAAGTAATCTTTACAAAATAATAGTTTAACTTATTACTTGACTGGACATACAGCACGGATAACTGGTAAAATTTTTCTCTAACTAGTATGAAGAGAAAACCATGATACATAATGTGTATGTAGGTAATACATATGTGTCTAATTCTAATGTTCACCACCACAAACTAATAAGAAGTACTAGCGCAGTGACCACCCATAGCAACTTGCCCGCCGACAGCGCAAGTATGACTTAACTGTCGGAATTTGACTGCTAACTCAACCAATTTTCGAATTTTAAAGTTTCCAAACAACTACCCTTATACATATTGAATGACCATGGGGAAGCTACACAACATAAACATGACTAGCTTTTGCGTTTGTTTGTCCTTTACCAGATCTAAAAAGAGCACAGAAATGTTTCTGGCTTTTGCTCAAAAACTTCTATGCAACATCTACTAGAGCTTGGTGGTCCCCAGGAACTACCCCCTAAGAAAATAGGTTCATCTATCTATTATCTTCTATATCTTTAATACATAAAATATGTCCTGAGTGACTCCATCTATCATCGCACAAACCAAACCGCTGAATGAAGAAATCTGAAATTTAGACAGTAGCTGTATTTTATGATGTAGGCATCCTCTAAAGTAGGATTTTGAAAAATTCAACCCTTAAGGTGAACCCTTGAGGTGAAGCAGGATGTTAGTTTGTATGAAAATTTGTACTTTACGAGACGATTGTCACGAAACTGCTGAACGTACTCCGTAAATAAAATAAATGAATATTTTGCTATTTTACGGGTGTGTAGAGGTTTTTATTTTATAGGATAAAGGTGACAAACTACCACATAGACCACCTGATGGTATATTTTTTTTTTAAGATACCTACTCCTTTTAAAGGGCCGGTAACGCACCTGCAATTCCCCTGGGCTGGGGTTGCAGTTGTTCACGGGCGACTCTCGAGCCGCATGCTCGTTTGACCCCTCTTCTATATATATATATATATATATATATATATATATATATATATATATATATATATATATATTATAATGTTATGTTTAGGCATAAATTAAACATGGGAGAGGGGGTTATGGAAGAAGCCACTGGCTCCTAAAACACAGTTTTACACTAGTTTATGAGCCTATGGATTCAATGAAACATTTACTGTATATTTTTATGTTAAAATAAATAGTTTAAAAGCCAGTGAGCGGCAGAATTACGGTATTTCAATAAGCTTCACGTTTTTTTTTTCAGTTAATCCCCTATACCTGCCATACATGAAATGGGGACTCTTTTGTTGACATTTATCGTAAAGATCGATTTGACTCTTATGGGGGTGTGGCTGTTTTTACTCATAAATCGCTTAAACACATATTTGTCCCGTCAATTTAGTAAATTCACGTATACGAGGATGGCACTGAAAGTTCTTAGAAAATCATTATATTTATTATATCTTTTCAAAAGTGTCCCTTTACATCAATACATCGCTGCATCCGATGGAACCACTGAGAAAAGCACTTTACCCACTCGTTCTTAGGGGTCTCTTCGACGGCATTTTGAAACGCAGCCACTACTTCCTCGGCGTCCATAAAAAGTTTTCCTCGGAGTTTTTCATTTATTTTCGGGAATAAATGAAAATCGTAAGGTGTAATCGTAGGCTATGGGCAGGTGACCCAGTAATTCCACGTCTGACGTCGCCAAGTAGTCGATTGTTTGCTTGGCGTTGTCGTGGTGAAGGAGGATCCTACTGCGAAGTTGTTTCGCCCGAACTTTTTCCAAGACAAGTGGCAAACAATTGTTAGTGTACCACTCTACAGTAACTGTTTTTCGATCCTCTAGAACAATTGTTGCACAATGACAATCTGCTGATAAGTCTCTATCATACGCCGCACAACACTGATGTTATCTTCAGTCGTCGCCGTAGAAGACCGTCCCTCACGCAGATCATCGGTGAGATTAGTGCGAACACATTTAAACACATTAAACCAGTTGTAAACAGTGGCACGAGATGGGGTTTCATCGTGAAAGGCCAAGCGAAGTCTATTATAACTTTCTTATTGACTTAAATGACATCGAAAGTCATAAATAATCACTGTATGAAAATGTTCTAGCGTTAAATTCATGCTGACGTGACACAGACAATTTTCAATTTGCCGCCAAATCGTAAACGAATGACAAATTAATAAAATACGTAGGTACATAATAATATTGACAAAGAGATCCATTTTCAAATTTCGAACTTATTTTTTTATTATATCGTTTACATGTGACCAGTTCTAAAAACTTTCAGTGTCGCCCTCGTAGAAGTTATTAGT